TTTTTAGATACGTATACTCTGAGGAGTGAAGTCAACTTCGGTTCACTTTACGTACAAGTTCTGTTAAGAACTTTGTTATTGTTAGCAAACCTGAACACATCCTTTGTTAAATGTTCTGGGTTTGAAGAAAAATAATTAAAACCAGAACAAGGGGTAGTAATAAATTGGTAATATCTGACATGATTTATTTTGATGAACTCGAAATTAATTCTAACTTCAAGAGAAAGTTTTGTTTGTATTTAAAAAATTTTTTGGTGAAGATGATAGTGAAGTTAGCTGACAATTTTTTAATTTTTTACAAATTAAGAACAATACAAAAATGCTTTAAAAAATTTCTACTAATAATTTTTATTTAATTTTTACATGTAGAATTTTTTTATTAAATTTTTTTTCATAATAATGTTATTTTTATAAAATTATACAAAATTTATATGAAAATAAAGTTAAGCGATATTTTAAAAACTGTAAGTGTAATTTAAAAATAAATTTATAGTCCTAATTTAATAAATTAAGCAAAATAAAAAAAATGTTATGAAAATTAATTTAGCAGATATTTGATAATTTTAGTAATTTTTTTAACAACTAAATTGTGGCAAAAAAAAATTATAAAGAAAAATTGACACTTAGAAATTTTTAAAAATTAAAAATGCAATTTTTTAAAAATAATTTTTTTGTTAAATAAAATAAAAAAATTATAAAGTGCAAGCTAATTTTGATGTCATAAATTTTCACATGCAGAATTTTTTTATTAAATTTTTTTCATAATAATTTTATTGTTATAAAATTATAAAAAATTTATATGAAAATAAAGTTAGCCGACATCTAAAAATTGTTTTATTGAAAAAAATTTTTTTTTAATTTTATTTGTAAAAAATTTAAAAAACTGTAAGTGTAATTAAAAAAAAAAAATTTATAGTTCTAATTAAATAAATTAAATAAAATCAAAAAATGTCGGCTAACTTTATTATAAAATTTATGTCAGTGTAATAAATTTTGTCCAATTAATTTTAAAAGAGAAGCTTGCAAGAAATTTGAAGAATATAAAAATATTCGATGGATTAAAAAAATAATTGAAAGGAGAAAATTTGGAATTTGAATGATTAAAAGCTGTAATTTATTTTAAAAATCGAAGGCAACAACCAAGAATAACATAGGTTGTGTTCGTTTAACCGACAATTGTATTACGGTTCAGATGACGAATGTATTTGTATGTATAGAGACAAAACGAGAAGGACAACGAGTAAATATTGAATAGAATGCAAGTATTTGAATAGAATGTTTATTGTGTTGTAGATATAACGCAACACATGAAATAATGGAGAAGATATAAAAGAGCTGAGGGAAAAGTATAAAGGGTGAGAAATTCAGTAGTTTTCAATCGACGTACAGGTGATACAAATATGGATTTACTGACGCAGCTAACACTGAATCGATCGGTTGACATCTACAGATAGTATGGACGCTGAAGAGAGCCAGCTTGTTGCACACACGCCACTTGATTGACCGGTTCAATTGTCCCGCGGTCTATTTGTTTTATATTTTTTTATTTTTCATACCGAATACAGCTCATCCTTTAATATAAACCTCCTTCGGCTGGAAGTGCTTCACATTAAACCTGTCTACGACTCTCCAGCAATGCTATAATTTATTTGCGGTTATTATCAATAAATACTTGGGCATACATGCGGTAAATACCGAAAAATACTGACCATTAATCACTACGCTCCATAAAATCGGTTTACCGCGATACGATAGCTAGAAAAATGTCAAAATACGCTCTGAATTAAATACAGCTCCGATCCGGTGTTTTGTTTTATCGGCACAATAAAAATTAATCTCTAGTGAAAGCGCCGAAGTTTGAATTCGAGTTTACAAAAGGAGTCACCGATTTATTTTATTTATTTTATTTACATACTCAAGTTGATCGTTCTTTTTTTATTTTCTATTGGCTATTAAATTTATGTTTAAGCTCAGGTTTTTTTTTTTAAGTAGAACAATGTAACAGCTTTTGCTAAAAAAATTTTCGAAGGTTGTTAAATTTAAATTTTTATCTGTAAACGCGATTTGAATAATGAAAATTAAGTTAGCCGACATTAAGAAAAATAAAAAATTTCATTCGTAAAAAACTTGAAAAACTATAAGTGCAATTTTTATAAAATATTTTTTAGTTTTAATTTAATAATTTAAAAAAATTAAAAACTTCAGCTAACTTTAATATTATCTATATTATTAAAAGAATCTTGTGAAATACCGACATTTTTGAAGATATAAGCTCATCCTGATGTTACACTCATCAAGACCTTTCGTTTGAGTACCCACATTAATTTTTCATATATTTTATATATTTATATATTTATATATATATTATATGTATGTATATATGAAAAATATATAAAAATGCATGTGGATACTCAAATGAAAGGTCTTGATGAGTGTAACATCGGGATGAGCTTATATCTTTAAAAACGTCAATAGTTAAAAACGTACAGTGCAATTTAACAAAAGTCATTATTTAATAAAGCAAAATTTTATTTATTTATAGTTCACAAGTCACGGCAGTCACATAGTGACTGCAAAGTTGCTAGTTTTGAATAATTAAACTATTCAATACATAAATTTTTAATTTTTAATTTAGATAAAGTAAAATATAATATAAATTAATTATTTTTTTTAATTAATTTAAATATAGATTTTTTATAAATATTTTATCAAAAAAATTATTGCTTAATTTCAGAGTCATAAAATTTTTATTATCAAGAAATTGATGATAAATTTTTTTAATTTATGATATTAATCACTATAAATATATAACGCTACAACATCACAAGTAGTTCATAAAAATTTCATGTGTGTCAATACTAAACACAAAAAAAGTCAAACAAGTAAATTGTACCAAAAGTTATTAGTAAACAAATGAATTTTGACATTCATTCCAGTTATTAGCTCTGACTCATATTTATATTGATTTTAATCCCCGATAAGTTTTCAAGCTTCATTTCTTCTTTGCAATATTTGTCTTTTTTATCAGAACTAAATAGTAAATATTATTTGTTATTTATTTATGGTTTTAGTTTCCGCTGAAAACTCAAAACAAAATTGTTGATCAAACATTAAATCTAAACAAATAAATAAAAGTAAATTTAGAAAAAAATTTATCGAAATGTGGTCTTTTGAATGAAATATAAAAAAAAAATAGACTATTTAAATGACGCAAAGTACATCGGGGAATCAACTGTATCAATATAGCGCAATCGAAATTAATAAAAGATAAAAGAGTTTAAATAGAGTTGAGTTTATTAAATTTTAAATGTGAAGATAAAGAAAAAAGCGGAAGATGCACTGGTTTTTATTAAAATTTTATATTCTGAATATAATAAGAGTCGCTGAAATGGTGAAATGATACGTTTTTAGATGGAAAAATAGTGCAGAGAGAAGTAAAGAGAGCTGTAAAAGGATTCGATTAAATGTACAAGTCGCTGATGCATTTGTAAGAGGATTAGTTAAATAATACTGGTGACATTGGCAAAAGAAATTACACGTACCTGTTATTTTAATTAAATTTATCTCAAAAATTCTCCCGTAATATAATAACAATAACGATTAAAATTTAAATTTTCATCTTCATTCTGTCCTTTAAAGTGCTTGTGTCTGGATAAAAATAACAAATGGTACAATGCGGGATTATTTTCTCAAGCGTTTACTTGAGCCTGCTGTTTCTGATGCTACTGAAATATTTGAAACATTAAAATAATAATTATAATTATAATACCAGCAATGCAATATAATCGGCATGTGTGCTTTCAGGTGAAAATTACATGACTCTGTTTTCTACAAAGATGTGTGAGCTTAAATAAATCCCTGGAGAGATGCTTCCACCGACGGCTGGAAAACAATCCACTATTTTATAAAATACATGAGCTTTTTTTTAACTGAAAGCGAATTCTGGGGATTAACGAAGGTAAATAATACTGAAAAAATAAAAATAACATTGTAATTTAATAATGTACTACACGGAAAAAAGTAAGCTGTAGTAAATAAGCGATTTATAATAAGTAATGATTAACTGAAAAAAATTATCATTTCAAACAGTAAAATCGTGATTTTAATAATCACTTTTAATGTTGATACCTAGAAAATGATCGCATGATATGTAAAAAATATAAACACTACAGTTGCTAAATTTCTATACAAGCAACGTCAATATTTACAAAGTAAAATGGTAAATTTTAAACGCAACGCTAAAAATCAAACTATAATTTTTGATTTGCTTGGACCGGTAAAATATATATTTTAAGAGTAGAATTTTTACTGTTTCAAATGTTAAATTCTCCGAGTGTGTGATACCTTCCTCTTCTCCTCATAGTATACACTATATATTGAAACAGCAATTTTTACGGTTTGAAACTGTAATTTTTTAAGATGAGAGAGTCGTTATTTACTAGAGTAACAGCTACTAATCACATTTTCGATATTAAATTATAAATTGTGGCTTTTACACTTTGTACATTAAGTTTTGTATAATATTTAGATTTGTGCCACCCCCATGTCCACTGTACTGTTTGAAACTAAAAATTAACCGGAATCCGAGTAAATTTTACAGTTTACTTTTTTCCGTGTAAACAGAGGATAAAAGAAAAAAATTTTCAAATAAATTGCTATTGAATTAAAGCAAGTGTTGAGTTGATCGAATTTATTTTTCAGCGAATTTAAAATGTCAGCATGTCATGCTGTCGATTGCGGGCTGCTGGCAAAGGAAGGTGACGCTATCAAATTTTGTCTCTGTATAAATGGGAGTTTATTTTGAATGGAACTCGTTGATGAATAAAATAAAATACCGGGAATGAAATCGGCTGCTCCTGGATGTCCTAAAAATTGAACCGCTGAAAAAAACTACCACCAGCAGGAGCTGTGAAAATGGAATAGAATTATTGATGAGATAAATAAAGTAGCCAGAGAGCAAAGGGGCGCTTGGGATGCTTCAATGCTCTGGCTAGCATCGTATGGAGGGCAAGGACTTTAATACGGAAACAACTTGGCTAAGAACGCCGAATTCAACCACAGATCCCGAGTATGTTTTTCAGGGATTCCCCGGACCGAATTCGCCGTACACTACCTATCAGGTAACGATAAAGCAAATCAATACCTCCAATTTATCGTAGTATCGCCTACATTCACAAAGCTGTACAACCTGGTGCATTATTGAGTAGGTTCTATTTCAATTGTTCCTTGCTAATAATTACTGCGATCTTGAACGCTGGACCTTAAATCTTCTTCTGTCACCTACAAGTTGACATTTTAAGCAATTATTGATTTTAATTTATTTTAAAACTTACAAATTGGTTATAAATATAGAAAAGTTTTATGATGATAAAATATTTGATGAAATCTTATAAAATTTACGAGTGAGTTTTCTGTTCAACTTTTACTACAATAAATCACAATCTTGTTATTATTATAAGATTGAATCAGAACTCGTTGAATTGAAGGTTTTATAGAGAATATGTATTTTTAAAATATTTTTATCAATAGTTTACAATCTTTAAAAAATTATTTCTTCAATACAATATGTCAACTTGAATGACAGAATACTTTAGCAGCGCTTTTTGGAAACAATAATTAATAACCAAGTAATTGTAGATAGATAATAAATTTTATTTGACTTTGGAGCCTAAGCTCCCTCAGAGCTATCAGTATTTAAGATACATAGATTTACATTTGTATAGAACTCAGTAGAAAATTAATTAATTAATTAAAGGCTAACAAATAAATTTAATTTTAAATTTTAATGAAATACAGATAGATCATTTGATAACAAAGAAATAATTTAAAGTCATAATTTAACACTGCTAATAGAAAATAATCTATATTATTAAGAGAATAAAAAAAAAAATTGTGTCCTTTTCAAGGTTTCATATCATTCTTACAAATAGGTAGTCAATTTTTTATGATAAGTATTTAAGCAGCATTTGAAAATTCTCTATCTTTAGATACATAATTAAGAAATGACCTTGTATCTTGTGAACTATTGACATTTTTAAAGATATAAGCTCATACTGATATTATACTCATCAAGACCTTTCATTTAAGTACCCACATCAATTTTTCATATATTTATATATATTATAAATATGTATATATGAAAATGCATATGGGTACTCAAATCTCTTGAAGGTCTCAAGACCTTTCATTTGAATACCCACATCAATTTTTCATATATTTATGTATATTATATATATGTACATATGAAAAATATATCAAAAATGCATGTGGGTACTCAAATAAAAGCTCTTGATGAGTATAACATCGGGATGAGCTTATATCTTTAAAAACATCAATAGTTAAGGAAGTACAGTGCAATTTAACAAAAGTCATTATTTAATAAAGCAAAATTTTATTTATTTATAGTTGACAAGTCACGGCAGTCACATAGTGACTGTAAGGTTGCTAATTGCAATTATTAATTATGTTGAAAAAAGTGATTGAAGCAAGCATTTTTAAATTCAACCAAATTATAAGTATGTAGCTATGAGCTGGATCTAGTTCTTCTTCAGCAAACTCTAATTGAATAAAAATAAAGTTAGCATCAATTAAAACGAAACTCAGGATTAACCCGTTTAAAAGTTCTGACTAAATCCCATAAAAAGTCAAAATTTCTCGAGACCTCCCTTGAATTTCAGGATTTCACTGTGTTCTGCAGGATTAATTCAAAACCTTGAAACAAAGTAGAATTTATTATCAAAAACAGAACTTACTACATGTAACTTAATATTCTCAACAGTATTAAGTTACTCATGCGTGAATAGTAATGGTTGGATTTTCTTGAATCCGCTAGCAATGTAGCAATGTAGTCGGTAGATTTTCCTCAGTCGTTGAAATACCAGGTAATGCAAATCAGACGACTTAATAATATTCTGAAACTGTTTTCTCTCCAGGCAATAGCACTAACCCTGGTTCTGAGCTTGATCGTGATAGGCACGATAATAGGGAACATTTTGGTCTGTGTGGCGGTAATCCTCGTCAAGAAGCTGCGGCGGCCTTGCAACTATCTGCTTGTCAGCCTTGCGGTAAGCGACCTTTGTGTGGCGATTTTGGTGATGCCGATGGCCCTGCTCTACGAAATCCTGGGCAGCTGGTCGCTGGGACCAACAATGTGCAATATTTGGGTCAGCTTCGACGTCCTCAGCTGCACCGCCAGCATCTTGAACCTCTGCGTGATATCTGTCGATAGGTAAATAAAAACTTCACTGATCCTAATTATCCATGTACAAAAAAAAAAGTTCACTTGAGCCAAGAAAATATTTTTCTTCTTAATTATTTTCTTTAGCGAAAAAAAAAATTTTTGACACAAGAAATTTCACTTATTCCAACCAAATTAATTCTCTCTTACTTTAAGAAATACGTGTCTTGATCCAAGAAAATTTATTTAAGTCAAGAAAATCTTGTTGTTTTGAGAAAATTCAGTCTCTTGCTCCAAAAAATTAAATATAAAGATAGAAGTAAATTTTCATTGATATTTTTATTGATTAACATGTCAAATGGGAAGATCAAATAATATTTCATCATTTTTTTTTCATTCAATATGTATAATTGCACGCTAAAATAATATAAAATGGGTATCAAATATTCAAGAGAAAAATTTTCTCAAGGTAATTTTTTTTAGCTGATCATTACTTATTTATTATAAATCGACTATTATTTATTACAGTTTACTTTTTTCGTGTACAACAAGAGTAGCCTCATCGCTTATTAATGTAAACACAACTATTGTTATTATTAATTAAAACTTACACCGTCGTCACATCCTCATCGAGCTTCCGTTTGATCTAGAACAAACTGAGGAATATACGCGACACATTTACCTAATTTAATCCTGAAAATTAACCTCCGGGTTAATTATTATTATTACTTTAATTATTCATTTGCTCTTCGTTCTATTAGCCATATGGAGCATACTCTAGCAGTCTAGTCTCTTCTGTTCTAGGATATAATAGCGCTGTTTGTATATTCATGTCTATGTCTCGGCATTATACTCACTACTATTTAATGTCTGTATGCAGGTACCGTGCCATATCAGAGCCTCTGGTCTATGTGCAGAAGAGGACAAAAGGACGCATGCTAACCTGGGTGTTCCTTGTCTGGCTGGTCGCCGCATGCATAAGTCTCCCGCCGGTCCTCATCCTAGGCAATGATCATAAATACGTCAACGGCGCTTGGCACTGCGATGTCTGTCAAAACTTCGGATACCAGATCTACGCAACTCTTTTCAGTTTTTACGGTCCTCTCACTGTTATGATCTTAGTACGTTATTTTACATTTCAATTCTTCCAATAATTCTGATTTATAGTGCTGAGATTATTTGCCGATTTTGCCCCGGGTGGGTCGCTGGAATTGGATTAGATTGTGGAATATTTATGATTAGAAAATCTGAAATATGAATTGTCAAATGGGATCATTTGAGATATGCTTTAATTTATTAAAAAATAATCCATTTTTTATTAATTATTTATCTAAAAAATTCAAATATTTCTTCTTATCAAAAGATGATCATATTTTTCTTTAATTAATTATTTATTTAAAAAATACTTATTAATAGATGACAGTATTTTTTTGAAATCTATATTATTAAAAAAATAAGAAAAATTTTGTGTCCAGGATATAGTCATATGATAAAATCGTTTTTTTTTTTAGTGAAATTTAGTGAGTCTTGATTAGAAGTTGTGCCTTTCAAGGTTTCATTTCATTCTTACTAGTCAATTTATTACGATAAGTATTTAGGCTGCATTTAAAAATGATCTATCTCTAGATACATAATTAAAAAATGACCTTGTATATTGTGAAATATTGACATTTTTAAAGATATAAGCTCATTCCGATGTTACACTCGTCAAGACCTTTCATTTGAGTACCCACATCAATTTTTCATATATTTATATATATTATATATGAAAAATATATCAAAATGCATGTGGGTACTTATATGAAAGCTCTTGGTGAGTGTAACATCGGGATGAGCTTATATCTTAAAAAATGTCAATAATTAAGAACTGACGATGCTATCTTGAGAATTATCGATATTTTTAAAGATATATGCTCATTCCGACGTTGGACTCATCAAGACCTTTCATTTGAGTACCCACATCAATTTTTCATATATTTTATATATTTATGTATATGAAAAATATATCAAAAAAATGCATGTGGGTACTCAAATGAAAGCTCTTCATGAGTGTAACATCAAAATGAGCTTACATCTTTAAAAGTATCAACAATTTCTTAATTACCTTGTATTTTGTCTACTACTGACATTTTTAAAGATATAAACTCACCCCGACATTACATTTATCAAGACCTTTCATTTGAGTACCCACATCAATTTTTCATATATTTTATATATTTATATATATATAAATATGTATGTATGAAAAATATATAAAAATGCATGTGGGTACTCAAATGAAAGCTCTTGATGAGTATAACATCGGGATGAGCTTATATTTTTAAAAAGGTCAATAGTTAAAAAAGTACAGTGCAATTTAACAAAAGTCATTATTTAATCAAACAAAATTTACTTATTTATAATTCACAAGTCACGGCAGTCACATAGTGACTGCAAGATTGCTAGTTAATTATTTACTCAAGAAGTAAAAAAAGTTGCCAGATGTCTTTCAATTTAAATATTATAAATAAAAAATGTTGCCAATATAAAAGAAGAAATATCTCCCAAAGTAACACGTGTACAAAGTTTATATTTTCTCGTCACGTAGTGACAGTAAGTTACTAGCATTAATATTTGTAATAATAATAATAACAACAATTACGTTAGTAACAGTGATGTTTTGACATTTCTGACAGACATTATTCATAGCGACAGCATTACAGTGTGTCTAATCCGGTCGCATATCCACGTGCACGTCAGCTTATGTATACGGACATAAATATTAAATAATATTCATGGTGGTGTATTGCAGGTGTACTACAAGATATTCCGAGCAGCACATAAAATCGTGAAGGATGAACAGCGTGCTCAGCGTCACCTCGGGGCGCATTGCACCTTGGAGATAGAACCGCCGGTGGACCACACAAGTATTATTAATCGAGCGTCTAATACAGACAGCCAAACTGCACACAACACTCCTACAATCAAGCAACACCGCAGCTCCAGCGCTTCAACAACGGTCAGTCTGACACCACAACTACTTATATTGTTATCCATTATACCCGAGATCTTATTAGCTGTATAATATTAGACCCGTCCTTGGATTAATGGTATCAAAACTCACCAACAAACTAAATCCCGGGCTCATCTCCGCTGGGTATTTATCTCCAGTTTTAAATTCATACTCTCTAATTAAATATTTTAAAGAGGAATATAAAATAAAATAATACTCACTCGTTACTAATTACTCGTTATAAAATCTATGTTATTTTATTTTAATTTAATAATACGAGATTGAAATTAAATAAAATAATTGTCGGTGCATTTCCGGGCTCGTAATTTAACTGTGCTGATAGCTAAGAAATGGTAATAGTAACAGCAACAGTAGTAATGATCGCAGTATATATAAACTGAATATGTCAATTATTCATTTTCTTCGCTAACAGGCAAGTAATGGAGGCGGGATAAATGCACCATTACGTATTCAATAAAGCCAGTGGTACAGCAGTAGAACAGTCTTCATCTTAGTCTCCTATTTCAAGCCTGACATTTTATACTTTTTACTGTCTCTCCATTATTTTATACGGGCACGATTTTTTATGGGGCTCTTAGCATTCATTAATCATCCTCTTCTATTTCAAAGTCTCGGGAAAAATAAAAAAAATACTAATAAAATAGTCATACATCTTCAGAATGAAGAAGTCAGATAAAAAGAAGAAATAATAAATGCAGAGTTAACTTAATAAAATACAATATTATTTTATAATAAAATAATAATAATAATCTATATTGTTCAGAGAATAAGAAAAATTTTATTTCCAGGATAGTTTTTTGGTAAAATCGGTTTTTTTAGTGGAATTCAGTGTCATTGCAAAGGTCTTAACTTGAATTTGTGCTTTTCAAAGGTTTCATTTCATTCTTACTGATAGTTGATTTATTATGATAAGTATTTGGCTGCATTTGAAAATATCTCTAGATACATAATTGAGAAACGACCTTGTATCTTGTGAAATATTGACATTTTTAAAGATATAAGCTCACTCCTACATTACACTCATCGAGACCTTTCATTTAAATACCCACATCAATTTTTCATATATTTATATATATCATAAATATAAATATATGAAAAATATATCAAAAATGTATGTGGGTACTCAAATGAAAGCTATTGATGAGTGTAACATCGGGATGAGCTTATATCTTTAAAAATGTCAATATTTTAAAAAATACAGTGCAATTTATCAAAAGTCATTATTTAATAAAGCAAAACTAATTATTTATAGTTTACAAGTCATTGCAGTCACATAGTGACTGCAAAGTTACTAATAATAATAATAAATAAAATGATAATAATAATGGTAACTTACAGACTAGCCTGAGTTATCGTTTAACAAAGATATTATTTTACCTCAGTGCACAAAACCGGACTTACTGTAGCTCTATAGGAACATAACTGAATTTTGAATTAATACCCAGGATCAAGGGATCTAAACATCCAATCTGGAGATACGGAAGTTGATGAGTATTTAATTGGCTGGACGGTTAGCTATTATCGGCGTAATCTCTTGTTTTATCATCAACCAATCACAGGATAAAAACTGTAAATATAACAGAGAATTAAATGAAATTAAATTAAATGAAGATAAAAAGTAATAATGATAATTAAGTGGCAAAGGTATTAATAATTTATTAACCTGATGTTGTGTTGATGGTTTATAAATTACAGTCAAGTCCGTCGGGCTGTCCGGCTTAACTGGACTTGCTTAATGGCCTGGATACGTCGATAGACAAACATATACGATATTAGGTTGTAAGACACCCTATAGTTTGGATTAGGGTCTGTGAACATTACGAGATTTATTGGAATTACTTGTTCACTTTTCATTTCTTCTTTGGACCCTCCACTCGGCGTATATTTTCCTCTTATTACCGAGTGATGAAAGCCAGCAAAGAAATAGGTCATCCATATAAAATAATAAATTGAAAAAAATAAATAACACGAAATACCTTCACCCTCCTATTCTCTTTTATCCCTGCATTATCTCACTAGACATTTTAAACCCGATACAATTTTTATAATGTATAATGTATGTAAATAAAATTCATCGCACGGAAAAAAAGTAAACTGTAAAATTTACTTAGATTCCGATTAATTTTTATAGTTTCAAACAGTACAGCGGACATGTGGGTGACACAAGTCTAAATATTACAAAACTTAATGTACAAAGTGTAAAAGCCACAATTTATAATTTAATATCGAAAATGTGATTAGTAGCTGTTACTCTTGTAAATAACAGCTCTCTTATCTTAAAAAATTACTGTTTCAAACAGTAAAAATTGCCATTTTAATATATAGTCTATACTATGAGAAGAAGAGGAAAGTCTCACACTCGGAGAATATAAAATTTGAAACAGTAAAAATTCTACTCTTAAAATATATATTTTACCAGTCCAAGCAAATTAATAATTACAGTTTGATTTTTAGCGTTGCGTTTAAAATTTACCATTTTATTTTGTAAATATTGATATTGCTTGTATAGAAATTTAGTTACTGTAGTTTAGATTTTTTACATATCATAAGATCATTTTTTAGGTACAAAATGATAAATATCAAAGTCAATATAAATTTCTTAATTATTACACTGTAACATTTTGGACTTTCATAGCGAATATTACTGTTTGAAATAGTATTTTCTTCCATGTAAATAATAAATTGTAGTATTTAAATGATAAATATTACAAAGTGATTGTTAAAATCACAATTTAACTGTTTGAAATGTTAATTTTTTCCAGTTGATCATTACTTATTATAAATCAACTATCATTTACTTTTTTCCGTGCAGATTTATTTTTAAAAAATCGAAAAGTGTACGCAGGAAAAACACTTGTTCCCTCGCTTGGTTCTTTGAGCGTAAAAAAACAGTGTCGAGTCAAATAGAATAGAATGGGAAATTTGATCAAAGCGGTCTTTGACCGGTGTCAGAATGCAAATAGCAACAGTTAGCAGCATCAGTACAATCTGTCAGTCTATCCAAGTTTACCAAGTTCCGAATAGAATCCCCGAGCATGTTAGGGTATTAGAACACCAGGACCACATATTTGCCTTAAGCTTGAGTGTCTCTGGACTTGTTCGGTTGGATTCATCTAGACATATATTATATATCCACACACATAATGCTACTGTAGCACCGCTCGGATCAATAAAAGAGTGACAGCCCCTTGAAAGACCAGGCGATTTGTTTAGTCTCTAGGGCATACCTTATATTGCCCGAATGTTGTTCGGGATAAATCATTTGATTGAATAAAGAAAACAGTAACTCAAATCATCTTCGGCTACAACTTATTCATTTTATTTCTTCTCTTATCGTCTTCTTTTTCCGCCCATAGATTTACACTTTATTCGCCCAGAAATCCAACATTGACATTATCTTTTATGAGGTGAAACAAATCACTGGGTAAAGTTCACTAAAAATTATTCTCTTGCTCAGATATAAAATACTCTTGTAAAATAAGTCAGTAGTTTTAAGCAAACAACGTTTCTTTATGATAAAATTAGCAATTGACCATTTTTTTTTTATTTTTTTTTAACAAACAAATTTGTTAAAAATTGTATTTTTAATTTTTTACTATTTTTACGTCAATTTTTTTTCCATAATTCAATTGTTGAAAAATTCTTTAAGTTATCAAATATTTGCCAAATTAATTTTATTAAATCAATGAATTAAAAATTATCAATATTTGCTTTATTTTTTAATTTATTTAACAAAAAAATTTGTTAAAAAAAATCATTTTTAATTTTTACATGTCAATTTTTTTTTTAAATTAAATAGTTAAAATATTATTAAAATGATCAAATATTTGCTAAATTAATTTTTTTAAATCAATGAATTAAAAATTATCATTTCATCATTTTTTAATTTTTTACACAAAACAAATTATTTAAAAGAAACATCTTAAAAAAATTGAATTTTTAATTTTTTTTTAATTTTTACATGTCAATTTTTTTTACAAAATTCTTAAAATTATCAAATATTTGCTAAATTAATTTCTATGAGTCAATGAAATAAAAATTAGCAGTCACTTCTTTTTTTTTTATTTTTTTAACAAAAAAATTTGTTAAAAAAAATCATTTTTAAAAAATTGCATTTTTAATTTTTTTAAATGTCTACATGTCAATTTTTTTCTTATTTTTTTGCCATAATTTACGTGTTGAAAAATTCTTAAATTTATTAAATATTTGCTAAATTAATTTTTATGAATCAGAAATTAAAATCAGCAGTCACTTCTCTTTTTTCAATTTTTTTACAAACAAATTTGTTAAAAAAAATTATTTTTAAAATATTGCATTTTAAATTTTTTAAAATTTCTATCAATTTTTTTCTATAATTTATTTGATACAAAAATTATTAAATATCTGCTAAATTAATTTTCATTTTTTTTTTAATTTCAAAAGATTTTTTTTAGATCTAAAAAAATTTCATATTAAATTTTTATTGAAAGTTTCTATGAATAAAAATATTTTTTATTTATATTAATTTAAATAACTCATAGAAAATCTGTAAAAATAATTTAATAATTGATAATTAGTAAAAAAATGTCAATAATTAAAATTCTTCATTAGTACCTGACATATTTGACAGTAATTCCTGTAATAATCACGATTAAGCCATAAAACTTGTGTGAAACAATTTTTATTCTCGCATATCCTACGAGGAAATTGCGTGTTGAAACTACATGCACGAAACATTTATATTTAAATTTAATCTATTCGATCGTGCATCGTGCAACGGACTGAAAAAACTAAATCAACCCACTACGGGAAAATCAATCCCCGTATTACTTGATCTATTCTGCTTATTTTCTTCTTCTGACTTCTTGAAGGTAACAGGAATTTTTTTCCCTTGAAATAAAAATAAACCATATTTATTTTCAATTTAAAATCATAACAACTACATACCTATTTGTTTTTTTTATCTGTATTTTTTTTTAAATATTATTTCTTCTTAGTAATCACATTTTCGTTGTAAAAATATATTTACAAAAATATGGAAAGAGTTTAAAGTTTAAACTTTTGTATGAATAAAAATTCATATTTATTAAAAGATGAATCTTATAATAAGAATCATAAATATGGATCACCGGAGTATTTTGATACGCATCGTTTATCAAAGCATCAAAGTCGTATAAACATCATCATCATTGTACCGTTGAGATTAAAAGTATGACTATAAAATTTATGTCAAAGGATATTATTTTGCAATAAAAAATAGTGCCCATTAAAAATGACCCGGTGACTTTTATTGCCTCTTTTATTATTTTTCATTTTTTGATTTATGAGGAAGTATTTTTATTTTTATTCTCATATATTCATCTTTACGCTTCAGCGTATCCTGAAACAAATTAAAAAAAAATATAACATATGTAAATGTGCAATATCCAATGTAAATAATGTAAGCAGAGAAAAATAATAATAAGAACTGTACAAAATTAAAAATTGACAATTAAGCGACATGTCAAAGATGAAAAATAAATATTGTGTCTTAAAAACGCAAGATACAATAAAATTTATAAGGACTTTTGTAGGAAATTTAATTTTCTATAAATAAAGTATTATTTTTTCGTATCTTCAATATTTAACCCGTAATTTAGACTTCAAATAAAAAACTCTCATCTATATTATTAAGAGAATCAGAAAAAATTTGTGTCACAATTAAGAAATGTTCTTGTATCTTGTGAACTATTGACATTTTTAAAGATATAAGCTCACTCCGATGTTACACTCATCGAGACCTTTCATTTGAGTACCTACATCAATTTTTCATATATTTATGTATATTATATATATGTATATATGAAAAATATATCAAAAATGCATGTGGGTACTCAAATGAAAGCTCGTGATGAGTGTAACATCGGAATGAGCTAATATCTTTAAAAATATCAATAATTAAGAAAGTACAGTGCAATTTAACATAATTAAGAAACGACCTTGTATCTTGAGAAATGTTGACACTTTTAAAGATATAAGCTCATCCTGATGTTACACTCATCGGGACCTTTCATTTGAGTACCTACATCAATTTTTCATATATTTATATATATATATTATATATATGTATATATGAAAAATATATCAAAAATGCATGTGGATACTCAAATGAAAGCTCTTGATGAGTGTAACATCAGGATGAGCTTATAATTTTAAAAACGTCAATAATTAAGAAATAACCTTGTATCTTGTAAGTTATTGACATTTTTAAAAATATAAGCTCTCCCTGACATTACACTCATCCAGACCTTTCATTTGAGTACCCACATCAATCTTTCATATATTTCATATATTTATATATATTATATATATGTATATATGAAAAATATATGAAAATGCATGTGGGTATTCAAATGAAAGCTCTTGATAAGTGTAACATCGGAATGAGCTTATATCTTTAAAAACGTCAATATTTAAGAAAGTATAGTACAGTGCAAAACTTTAAATAATTAATTTTCGAAAAAATAATAATAACAACCTCACTTTTTGACATTACAGTGCAGCGGACACGCAGTGAAGTGCTTCGCAGGCGGTCCAAGAAAAAGTAACGAGTCGCAGTGCCCGATGTTAATAAAGACTGATAAAACGGCAGGCTCCTCGACGACAACTTTGCGACCAGTGGGTGCCGGTAACAAGTTTACAATTGCAAGGAACCACCTAAACAGCACTTGCAGCGTAAGTTCCCCTCACAAGAAAAAACAGAAGATTAATTTGGTGAACGAGCGAAAAGCCACGAGAACCCTGGGAATAATAATGTCTGCCTTCACAATATGCTGGTTACCATTTTTTGTTCTTGCCCTAGTTAGACCCTTCCTATCGGATCCTAAGAGTATTCCGAAGATCCTGTCAAGCTTTTTTCTTTGGCTCGGCTATTGTAATAGTCTGCTCAACCCTATTATCTATGCCACCCTCAACAGAGACTTCCGCAAGCCCTTCCGTGAGATACTCTGTTTTCGGTGCAGCAATCTCAATCACATCATAAGGGAGGAATTTTACCAGAGTCAATACGGCGATCCTGTTAATAATTACGTCGTTAGACCTTGTGATGATAATAATGACGATAATGACGACGACAGCGACCAACGTTGTAACAACCACGTTGCTGAATCTGTCAGTTTTGCTGCTAACCCTGCTAACGAAAGTTTTCTATGATTAACGTCATTTTAGTAATTCACCGACTAGACGGGTGAAGGGTGAAGGGCTAAAAGGACGATTTTAATATTTAATATAGTTTGAAAAAAATTAAAGAAAAAATTTACTTTGCGAGTATAAGCTAAAATTAAATATTAATATTAAATAACTATAACGTACCTCTCTTTATATTATGTCTCTTCGTTACCTGATATATCAAGAAAAAATTATACAAAACGAGTACATATCTCTGTACACATTTTCAGTCAACTTATAGTTTTATCAATCTCACTTTTTAATTTCTAATTGATAAAAGAAAAATATTTGGATTATATTTCTTCTATTTTTATTTTTACTATCAGCATTGTTTTTTACTTACTCTTTTTTATTTCACGTGAAAAATACCAAAAAGGCGTATAGAAAAAAAAATTTTTTTTCAATCACTTTGCAAACATATTTTGATCTGAAAAATTAAAAAATTTCAAGTCCAAAAAATTTATGTCTCAAATTATATATTTAAATGGCTTAAAGAGTGAAAATAAAAAATTCCAAAAATATTAATGATATTTTTAGAATTGAATTCCAAAAATAAATATCGACGGTCTAATTAGCAATTTGTCTAACTCCTTATTTTTTTCGAAGGTGGTTTTTTAACATTTTGATGTAGCAATAGTCCAACTATAAATTATTTTAATGATTCAAACCAAAATATTATACCTGTATTAGATATTAATGATATTAAATGGTTTTTTAAAGTGATGATAAATTTTGAACTAATTGTTTTTTTCGTACAAATAGAAGATTCTCTAAAATGGAGTTAGACAATTTGCTAATTAAAACGTCGATATCAAATATTTAATATGTGTATATCGAAAGATACTAAGGCGCAAAATTTCAAAAGTTTTAAATATATGTCAAAAACAGTAAAGAGAAAAAAATTGGGTAGTTTTCAAGAATTTCAAACACTAATAAAATTAAAAAAATTTACAATTTTATAAAAATTAAAAAAAAAAAAACATTCTTCGTTGTTCATTTTGCCCCTTTTTTTGAGATATAACTTTTAGACGTAATTAAAAAATTCCAAAAATATTAATGATATTTTTAGAATTAAATTACTAAAATAAATATCCAATTTTCAATATATTTATATTGAAGGATACTAAGTCGTAAAATTTCAAAAGTTTTAAATATATGTCAAAAACAGTAAAGAGAAAAAAATTGGGTAGTTTTCAAGAATTTCAAACACTAATAAAATTAAAAAAATTTACAATTTTATAAAAATTAAAAAAAAAAAACTTTTTATTGTTCATTTTGCCCCTTTTTTAAAATACACCTTTTAGAAGTAATTAAAAAAAATTATTCTCACTGATTTTGACGTTTTGATCAACTTTGAGCTAATTTCCAAAAAATATTTTTTTTGTACGCTTTTTTGGTAATTGCTACGCGATTTATGTACCACGTCTCTCCTTCTAAAATATTATTATGATATTACGTGTTTTTGGAATGTTTACAACAACACAGTACTCAGTCTTCTCAAAACACTCTAACGCGATAAAAGCATTAAAGAAATTGTTGTTTTGTAACTTAAATGGCTCGTAAACAATTCTTGAATTATTATTTTTATCTCAGAATTTATTTCTTCAATTTTATTAAAAATTTATTTTTAATTTAATTACAAATTTATAATTGTAATTTTTAAAAAATAAGAAAATTATTTAAAAAAAAAAACAATTTAAAAATTAATATTAATATCAATTTAAATTAATATTTCTATAAAATTTTTATTATTAAATTTATTAAAATATTGATTTATATTTTTTTTAAATAAAATAACCGGGAAAAAAAATTATCGCGACATTGTAAACTTCTATAACTGGTTAATCGATACAAAACAATCACTTGAGGATTAATTAAATTTTTAAAGGCAAACAAACTTTTCCGAGTTATTTAAGTAAATAAAATAGATCTTAAATAAGATTATAGAGGCAATATATTTAATGAATAACTGTAAAGTTGATTGTGTTTATTTTTAAGATTGTTTTATTTTTCCGGGTGGATTAAAAGTAGGAGAGAAGAAACCGAAGAACAAGAAAGAGTTAATCAATCTGGGCTTGAAATAGCTTAAAAGTAATTTAATTAATTAGGAAAAAGTTTGTTACCGCCAAAGTAATTACCTTGAATTATTAACGCAGTGATTTTAAATTGCTTTGATAAAAAATAACTTGCTAAAAACTAATTGGATTAAATCACAGCGTAAACATTTATTAGTTCGGCGATTGTATCGGATTGTAATTGTTAATTATTAAACATACCTTTGGTGCTTGATAACGAGAGAGCACTCAAATAAATTAGATAATTAATTGAATGTTGATGTTCTTTAGGTATAGATCAGTGTCTCGAATTAAATTAAGTGTGTGTACATCTAAAAAAAAAAAAAAAAAAAAAAGTCTAATCAAAAAATATCCGAGATTAATAATTATAAAAATATATAAATGGATGAAACTGAGGTTTTTAATTTCATTTAAAGAGGATTAAGATTACACTACTCCCGAACTGCGGGTAATGTTTTATGAAAAAAACCGAGCGTTGATTGCTAACTATTTTTTTAAAAATAAATTAATACTTGTCACTTGTTATTGAATTTAGAGTTTAATTATTTTATTGAAACAAAAAATAGATAGATAGATAATAAATTTTATTTGATTCTAGAACTTAAGCTCACTTAAGTTTACATTTTTGTATATAATATAACTCAGTAAAAAATTAATTAATTACTTAAAGATTTACAAATAAATTTTAATGAAATACAGATAGATCATTTAATAACAAAAAAATAATTTAAAATCATAATTCAGCATTGATAATAGAAAACTAGGAACCTTGCAGTCACTATATGTGACTGCCGTGATTTATGAAATATAAATAAATAAAATTTGCTTTATTAAATAATGACTTGTTAAATTGCACTGTACTTTCTTGAATATTGATTTTTTTAAAGATATAAGCTCGTCTTGATGTTTCACTCATCAAGAGCTTTCATTCGAGTACCCACATGCATTTTTATATATTTTTCATATATACATATATATAATATATATAAATATATGAAAAATTGATGTAGGTACTCAAATGAAAGGTCT